GGGGCTGTCTTGCCCGATATCTGCATAACCCTGCCCAACCTTGTAAACCCCATGCTAACCCCCTATAGCCTTCTAGAAGCCGATATGCAGCCCTGTATAAACCCTATAGTACCCTACGTGAATCACACACACACACTATATATATATATATATGTATATATATATATATATATATATAAAACATATGGACACACACCCATGACATGTGTGTATGTATTTATATATATAGATCTCTTACATAAACCCGTTCTGTGTCAAGGTGGCCCACACGCTTCCAGAGCGCGAGCGGGCGGGCCTCATCCAGCAGGCACGGGTTTTGGGACTAGGGTTTAGGGTTAGACCCTAGCCCTAAACCCTAAACCCTAAACCCTAAACCCTAAACCCTAAACCCTAAACCCTAAACCCTAAACCCCAAAGTTTCACAAAAGCCCTCCAAGTCCAGGCCGAGAGCCTCCTCCGCGAAGCGACATCCATGCTGAGCGCCGGGCAGCAGATTCAGGAGGGCAGGCGACAACAGGGTTTAGGGTTTAGGGTTTAGGGTTTAGGGTTTAGGGTTTAGGGTTTAGGGTTTAGGGTTTAGGGTTTAGGGTTTAGGGTTTAGGGTTTGGTCGGGGGTGAGGAGTTCCTGAAGTAAGGTTGGGTTTTAGGGTTCAGGGTTGTGGGTTTTGGGTTTAGGGTTGAGGCTCGGATGGGGTCTTATCAACCTTGCTGAAACGAGTGTAGGGCTTGAGGGCTTATATTAGGGTTCAGGGCCTCAGGACTTAAGGCTTGGGGGTCTTACCAGGTGAGCGAGCGAGCCCTACGAACCACAAAGCCCTAAACCCTGAACCCTTAAACCCCGAACGCCCCAAAGCCCCAAGTCCTAAAACACTGAAGCCCTCAACCCTCCAGCCCTACACCCTAAAGCCCTCAACCCTCCAGCCCTACACCCTCAAGCCCTCAACCCCCAAGCCCCACACCTTTCAGCAAGAGCGAGGTTGATAAGACCCGCGAGGCCGGCCCCAAACCTTTTAACCCAAAACCCTATAAGCCCTAAACCATGAACCATGAACCCGAAACCCTAAACCCGAAACCCCTAAACCCTAAACCCTAAACCCTAAACCCTAAACCCTAAACCCTAAACCCTGTAGGGTTTAGGGTTTTGCTGGCCATCTGCCAGGGATCGCGCGAGGAAGGCACGCTGGGAAAGGGACCCTGAACGCCAAAATCTTCACGGTTTTAGGGCTAGAGTCTAGGACCCTTATTCCCTTTTTGAGGGGTTTAGGCTTTAGGCTTTAGGTTTTAGGCTTTAGGCTTTAGGCTTTAGGCTTTAGGCTTTAGGCTTTAGGCTTTAGGCTTTAGGCTTTAGGGTTTAGGGTTTAGGGTTTAGGGTTTAGGGTTTAGGGTTTAGGGTTTAGGGCTACTAGGACCCGGAGTGCGCCCGAACTCCCTGTTTTTCAGGGTTTGGCTTCCCTTCGAAGCCGGTGCCCGTTTCATTCCTCGAATTTCTCCTGCGTCTTGGAGTGGTTCGTGAGGTTTAGGGCTTCTGGGCTTGAGGCTCAAGGTCTTGAGACTTTAGCCCTAACCCCTAAAACCCTAAACTTGGGATGTTCCTCCTTCTACTAACAGCCCGTAATAGGGATTCGAGTACCCCCTTTGCAATCCCTATTGAGGACTGTTAGTATAGGGGGAACATCCCAACCTTAAACCCGTAGCCCTGAACCCTAAACCCTAAAACAAGGATTTATCAACGAAGCCTTTAAAGTGGGGCCTTCAAATGCCGCCTGAACACGCAGGAGCTCACAACCCTCATCCCCCATGTTAAGCATGACGATATTGTGGGGTTTTGGTTTGTAGGGTTTTAGGGTTTATTTTAGGGCTTTAGGGTTTTAGGTTTTTAGGGTTTTAGGGTTTTAGGGTTTTAGAGTTGTAGGGTTTTAGGGTTTTAGGGTTTCAGGGTTTTAGAGTATTAGGGGTTCAGGGTTTTAGGTTTTTGTGTTTTTGGGTTTTAGGGTTTTGCGGTTTTCGGGTTTTTGGGTGCAGGGTTTTAGGGTTGGGATTTAGGGTTCTGGTGTTTGGGGTTGTGGGGATTCACGGTTTTAGGGTTTAAGGTGACGTAGGGACTATATGCATTATAAAGGAGTGGGTCCATTGTTTTTTTTTTTTGTTTTGCTTTTTTCGGGGGTATCCTTGCCCTACAGGAACCATCACGGGTAGCCTTGCTAACAGGGAGACACCCGAATGTTCCTTACATTGAGGGTTTAGGGTTTAGGGTTTAGCGTAAACCCTTAACCTGAACCCTAAACCAGCTCAAAAGCAGCTCAGGGTCTGACTGCCTGAGCCCGAAAAAGACCTAACACCCTATACACCAAACCGCAAACCGTTATCCGCAAAGAAGTCCGTTGTGGTTCTTAAGGGATGTATGGCCAGAGATTTCAGATTTTCTCACAGAATTTGGGAGGAAACCCGAAGAACCAGATAAACCTGTAAACCCTAAACCCTCAGCCCCATAACCTCTAAGCCCTAAACCCTACAAACGCCTACAAAAGCGCGCACAAAAACCTGTAATGAAGCCTTACCGTCAACCCTCTAGACCCTAAACATCCGTGAGCAACACCCTGCAAAACCTACTTCTTCAGAGGGTTGAAAGGGCCGTCCTAGGAAGCCCAAACTTAAAAGCCCTAGACCCCGAACCCTAAACTCCTCGACCCGTAACCCCTGACCCCTAAACCCCTCTACCTTGAGAGGCAGAAGCTGCGCAGGCGGCGGCTTGGTTTTCCGGGGTTCTTGAGGGTTTGGGGTTTTACGGGTTTAGGGTTGTTTTAAGGGGTTTGGGGTTCAGAGTTTAGGGTTTTGGCTGCATACGGGTTCAGGGTTTAGGGGTTTAGGGTTTAGGGGCTTGGGGTGGAAAACTAGAAGTCAGACCTACTCGTGGACGGCGGTGGAATCGAAAATCTCTAGCTCAGACTAGTTTGGGCTACTTGGGATGCCAGCGTGCTTGGTGTTTGTTTAGGGATGTTTTTTTTTGTTTTTTTTTTTTGTGGGGGTCGTGTGGGGTTCTTTTGGTTTGTTTTGGGGCTCCGGGTTTTTGGAGTGATTGCAGGGATTTGGATTTTCAGGGTTTCAGGGTAGGAAGCCCAGCGTATGTGCATTTTCAGGTTGAGGGTTCAGCGTTCAGGGCTCAGGGTTCAGGAACTTAGGGTAGGTTGCAGCGAGATCTTGGTCTTGTCGTATGACCCGTTCCCACGTTTTCCATCCGCCAGTCCCTTCTTCCCTTCTTTCAGGGTTCAGGTTCCCTTATCCAGCACCTGGAAACCAAAAATGGCACCCTTTGTCTTCCTCGAGGTCGGAAGAGCAAGAACCGTAAGCCCGAAAATGGGTTTATAAGGGTTGAAATCTCTTTTTAGGGGTTTGGGGGGGGGGGGGGGGGGGTTAGGGGTTTTTTTTCTTTTTCTTTTTTTGAAAACCCTGTCTGGGGGTTTTGAGGGGGGGGGGGGGGGGGCGGTTTTCGGGTTCACCCCTCAACCCGGACCCCCAAATGCCATTCTCAACCCCCGCCTTATGCCCAAGCTGAAGGCAAGACAGCCAGAGAATCAAGGCGGCTTGCTTCGGGATTTAGGGTTCTTTAGGGTTTAGGACTTATGGAGTTTATAGGGTTTATAGGGTTTATAAGCTGTAGAGGTTTTACAGGGGTTTAGAGGGTTTAGAGGGTTTACGGGACTTTAGGTTTTTACAGCGTTAAGGTTCGGAGTCTTACAGGCCTTCTAGCAGGTTTAGGGTTTAGGGTTTAGGGTTTAGGGTGCAGGGTTTAGGGTTTAGGGTCGATCTGGAAGCGCTTTGCTCTGTTACAAGCACCTGGGAAGCAGTAGCCGATCACCGAAATGCCGAGACGTGAAGGTCCTTTTGTGCGGGCCCTTGCAGGGGCGTTCTTCTCCGCTTGGAGGTGTAGAGGGTTGCCCTCCCTGAACCCTAAACCCTAAACCCTAAACCCTAAACCCTAAACCCTAAACCCTAAACCCTAAACCTGGGGACTCCGGTATTTGCTGCGGACCGAAGCAGAAAAGAGAACCCTGACGAGCTGATTGCTGGTCTGGTGTTACAGAGCTTAGAGCTTAGGGTTTAGGGTTTAGGGTTTGGAGTTTAGGGTTTGGGGTTTAGGGTTTAGGGTTCAGGGGGACCCAAAAAAAGGGTCCTCAAAACGGGCGCATTTCGCCAAGGAAGCCGCTGGCAGACGCAACCCCAAGCCCGAAGCACCCTCGAAAACCCTCAGAAACAAAACCCCAAACCCCTAAAACCATAACCCGTATAGAGCTTCTAACCCTCAACCCTCAACTTTAGGGCTAGAGTTTAGGTTTTAGGGCTTAGAGCTTGGGGTTTAGGGTTTAGGGTTTGGGGGTTTTGGGGTTTGGGGTTAGGGTTTAGGGTTTATTGTTTAGGGTTTTGGGTTTAGGGTAGACCCCAAGCCCTACACCCACAGGGGATGCCAACTCCTCGCAATTGGCCTCGGAGTGGGCGCCCCAGCCCGGGGTTGCAGGGTTTGGGGTTTGCGGTTTAGGGTTTAGGGTTTAGGGTTTAGGGTTTAGGGCTTGGGGTTTGGGGTCTGGGGTCTCCTCTGCTCCTTCTGGGTCTTATGGCTGGTTTTTGTACTGTGGTTACTATGGCTGCTCCTCCTTTTGGTCTGGGCCTGCTGCAACCCTAAACGCTACCCCCTTGAAGGCTTGCACCACGGTGCCTACCACCAAAACGATCACCACCATGAGTGCCACCACGAACACAACCATGATGGGACCCAGAGTAGGCCCTTATGCCTTTCTTTGGGGTTTAGGCTTAGGGGCCACAAGGACCCAGAGTAGGCCCTTATTCCCTTTTTACTGGTTTAGGTTCCCTTCTAAGCTACCCTGTTTATTCCCAGGTTTCTCTCGTAGCCTCTCTGCTGCCACCGTAGCCTTTTTTGGCTCAAGCGCGCCCTGTTCATAGTGTGAGTAGATTGACTTGATAGTCCGATAGTGAAGCCAGACAGCATGGCCAATCGCACAGATCGTCTTCGGAAACGGGAGCTGCTACGCTTCAAAGAAGCAGCCAGATCGGTCGTCCTTGCAACGATTCGCCGCGAGGAGGACGCCTTGCTTTTTCGCGCATTCGCCGCCTGGAGACAATTCAAGAAGGAGATGGACATTCGCTGCCTGCAGATCGCGATGGCCGAGGAGCAGCAAAAGGTCTGAAATGTCCTTTCGATCTCGTCTTCTTGTTGTTGTTGATGTTGATGTTGCGCAGGTGGTTCCGCACCTGGCAGCAGATGAAGGCCGAGAGTGCATTACTTTGCGGTGACGCATTCTGCGGACGTTAGGATTAATGTTGGTACCGTATTAATAAACCCCCCCCCTCCCCCCCCTCCCCGCTGTCAAGGTCACAAGGTCTGACGACCCAACCTTGTTGGCCCCCCCCCAAATAAATGTAGGGTCGGGGTCGTCATCATAGTAGTACTAGTAGTAGTACTAGTAGTACTAGTAGTACTAGTAGTACTAGTAGTACTAGTAGTACTAGTAGTACTAGTAGTATTAGTAGTACTAGTAGTACTAGTAGTACTAGTAGTACAGTAGTACTAGTAGTATGAGTAGGACTAGTAGTACTAGTAGTACTAGTAGCATTAGTAGTACTAGTAGTACTAGTAGTAGTAAGTAGTAGTAGTAGTAGTAGTAGTAGTAGTAGTAGTAGTAGTAGTAGTAGTAGTAGTAGTAGTAGTAGTAGTAGTAGTAGTAGTAGTAGTAGTAGTAGTAGTAGTAGTATATAGTAGTAGTAGTAGTAGTAGTAGTAGTAGTAGTAGTAGTAGTAGTAGTAGTAGTAGTAGTAGTAGTAGTAGTAGTAGTAGTAGTCGTAGTGGTAGTAGCAGTAGTCGTAGAGGATAGTTTGAAGGCTTGCAAAAGGCTTTCAGGACTTCCAAAATTATTCACGAAGCCATTTGCTCAAAGGCTTCGCGCACTTCTTTGGAAACGCTGCAGCTCGGAAATGTTCCCAAAAAGGCCTGTCAAATGAAGGTCTTTAAAGGCAACTTCCGAAAATGCACCCCCCGGGGTTCGAGCCCGGGGCCTCGGGTCACAAGCTCAATCGCTTTGCCACTAGGCCATTTGGTTTGTGCCTCTGCAGCGTCGAAGAAGCAAATAATCGAGATTGAAGCTTGAGATTGAGCTTTTTGGGCCCGGCTCGGGTCCCGATCGCGTTTTCCCAATTTGTCCTTTTCGGACTTGCGTCATGGGGACTCCCCAAACCCCGTCAGTGGGCCTTCTTCAAGCCGTTCTGAAAGCCCTCGGGACCCCAAACAGACTCGGCACGTTTTGATCAACAGGAAGTAAAGAAGTCCAAGTGGCTCAAAGCCTTTGCAAGGATATTTTGAAGGCTTGCAGAAGGTAATTAACAAGCCTTGCTGAAGCCGTTTCGGGACCCTCCAAGCCGCAATTGGAAAGCGCTGTATGAGTTAATCGGGAATTGGCACATTTGGATCAAATCCTGATGCAGGGACCTTTTGGGACCTTCCAAAAGCCTTCAGAAAGCCATCTACAAGGCTTGTCCAAGTGGCTCAAAGCCTTTGCAAGGATATTTTGAAGGCTTGCAGAAGGTAATTAACAAGCCTTGCTGAGGCCGTTTTGGGAGTTTCGGGACCCTCCAAGCCGCAATTGGAAAGCGCTGTGTGAGTTCATTGGGAATTGGCGCATTTGGATCAAATCCTGGTGCAGGGACCTTTTGGGACCTTCCAAAAGCCTTCGTAAAGCCATTCACAAGGCTTTTGTCCAAGTGGCTCAAAGCCTTTGCAAGGATATTTTGAAGGCTTGCAGAAGGCTTTAACAAGCCTCGCTGAAGCCGTTTTGGGAGTTTCGGGACCCTCCAAGCCGCAATTGGAAAGCGCTGTATGAGTTAATCGGGAATTGGCACATTTGGATCAAATCCTAATGCAGGGACCTTTTGGGACTTTCCAAAAGCCTTCAGAAAGCCATTTACAAGGCTTGTCCAAGTGGCTCAAACCCTTTGCAAGGATATTTTGAAGTCTTGCAGAAGGCTTTAACAAGCCTCGCTAAAGCCGTTTTGGGAGTTTCGGGACCCTCCAAGCCGCAATTGGAAATCGCTGTATGAGTTGATTGGGAATTGGCACATTTGGATCAAATCCTAATGCAGGGACCTTTTGGGACTTTCCAAAAGCCTTCAGAAAGCCATTGACAAGGCTTGTCCAGCCTTTGCAAGGATAATGTGAAGGCTTGCAGAAGGCTTTAACAAGCGTCTGGACCTTCCAAGCCGCAATTGGTAAGGTTTGTATGAGTTCATTGGGAATGGGCACATTTGGATCAAATCCTGGAGTAGGGGACCTTTTGGGACCTTGCAAAAGCCTTCGCAAAGCCATTTACAAGGATTGTCCAAGCGGCTCAAAGCCTGCGCAAGGATATTTTGAAGGCTTGCAGAAGGCTTTAACAAGCCTTGCTGAAGCGGTTTTGGGAGTTTCGGGACCCTCCAAGCCGCAATTATAAGCGCTGTGTGAGTTCATTGGGAATTGGCGCATTTGGATCAACTCCTGGTGCAGGGGCCTTTTGCTTTGGAGACCCGAAGCTTGGAGCTAGCTTTTTTAAAGGTTCTCAGGCCGAGGCCCGCATTAATCGAGGGCCACGAATTAATCGGGTGGGCCAGGGGCCGAAAAGGGATACCCTTAGAAACCTTGGGAAAATGGTTTTTCTAGATAGATTTTGAATTAAAAACCATCTGTTCCTGAAGGCTTGGGATTTTGGAATTTTGTGGCTGCTGCTTGCTTGCTTTGGAGACCCGAAGCTTGGAGCTGCCTTTTTTAAAGGTTCTCAGGCCGAGGCCCGCATTAATCGAGGGCCACGAATTAATCGGGTGGGCTAGGGGCCGAAAAGGGATACCCTTAGAAACCTTGAGAAAATGGTTTTTCTAGATAGATTTTCAATTCAAAACCATCTGTTCCTGAAGGCTTGGGATTTTGGAATTTTGTGACTGCTGCTTGCTTGCTTTGGAGACCCGAAGCTTGGAGCTGCCTTTTTTCAAGGTTCCCAGGCCGAGGCCCGCATTAATCGAGGCCGAAAAGGGATATCCTTAGAAACATTGAGAAAATGGTTTTTTAGATGGATTTTCAGTTCAAAATTATCTGTTCCTGAAGGCTTGGAATTTTGTAATTTTGGGGCTGCTGCTTGCTTTGGAGGCTCGAAGCTTGGAGCTGGCTTGTTTAAAGGTTCCCGGGCCGAGGCCCGCATTAATCGAGGCCGAAAAGGGATATCCTTAGAAACATTAAGAAAATGGTTTTGTAGATGGATTTTCAATTCAAAATTATCTGTTCCTGAAGGCCTGGAATTTTGTAATTTTGGGGCTGCTGCTTGCTTTGGAGACCCGAAGCTTGGAGCTAGCTTTTTTAAAGGTTCTCAGGCCGAGGCCCGCATTAATCGAGGGCCACGAATTAATCGGGTGGGTCAGGGGCCGAAAAGGGATACCTTTGAAACCTTGGGAAAATGGTTTTTCTAGATAGATTTTCAATTCAAAACCATCTGTTCCGGAAGGCTTGGGATTTTGGAATTTGTGGCTGCTGCTGCTTGCTTTGGAGGCTCGAAGCTTGGAGCTGGCTTGTTTAAAGGTTCCCGGGCCGAGGCCCGCATTAATCGAGGGCCACGAATTAATCGGGTGGGTCAGGGGCCGAAAAGGGATACCTTTGAAACCTTGGGAAAATGGTTCTTCTAGATAGATTTTCAATTCAAAACCATCTGTTCCGGAAGGCTTGGGATTTTGGAATTTTGTGGCTGCTGCTGCTTGCTTTGGAGGCTCGAAGCTTGGAGCTGGCTTGTTTAAAGGTTCCCGGGCCGAGGCCCGCATTAATCGAGGGCTGCGAATTAATCGGGTGGGCCAGGGGCCGAACAGGGATACTCTTAGAAGCCATGAGAAAACGGTTTTTAAAGATAATTCAGGCTTGGGATTTTCTTATTGCTGCTTGTTTTGGTAGTTAGAATCGGAAGTAGTGGCCGCAGTAGTCGTCGTCGTCTTTTGCAGCATGAGTGGGAGCCATGCTGGCTGATTGGTGAGAGCACTTGGAGATGAGCTCGCAGCAAACATAAGGATCATCGTGTCACCCTTACAACATCCTCATGAGGGCACGTCCGGTCTAATCGGGAGGGGAGTTCCCTATAGTTGAGGGTTTGGGGTTTAGGGCTCGAGGGCTTTCGCGGTCCCAAGCGTATCATCCTCAAAAAAGTGTACATGAGGGCAGGTCCGGTCCGATCGGGGGGGGAGTTCACTAGTTGAGGGTTTGGGACTTAGGGCAGTAGAGTCACAAGCATGTCATCCTCAAAAGAAATCTCTTGGAATCTACTTGAGGGCAATTCCGACCCAATCGGTGAGGGGAGTTCACTAGTTGAGGGTTTGGGGTTTAGGGGTTTGGGGCTTGAGGGCTCGCACACATCTCATCCAAAAAAAAAAATCACATGAGGCCAGGACCGGTCTAATCGGGGGGGTTGACTAATCGGACGGGCGGGCATTTTCGGGAGGTGGACCGGTCTAATCCGGGGGTATTATTAATACGTTACGAACATTATTTCCCAGCACGATTTTCTGTGAAGTCTTTGACCTGCGATTTTGGACGTCTGTTTCAACATGAGAAGCGAATCACAGTTCGAATTGCCGACAAGTTTTGCATCAAGCTCTGGGTGTGTCCATTGTGCGTGCCATGACGGGCAGAACAGCGCACAGCTCATGAGCAGGGTGGACATGTAAGAGGGAGTTTTGTGTTGCACCCGCTTTCCCTGAGGTTCTGTCCATGCCCTCGTGTGTGGATACGCATAGCCCACTGGGCTGTCAAGTGCGCAATCGTGCCACCCCCTAGGAGGCTTGACAGTTGAGCCGAAAGGCGCAGCCCCATTCACCGAGCGTGCAGAAACTGAAGGGTTCGAGCGACCGGGACTACAAGGCTTATTCTTTTGAGTATTCCTCGATTTCAGAAGCCTTCGCAGTCAACTGTCAACATATTATCGAGCAGTTGTCAGCCCCATTTTGTTAGTGCCACTTTGCATGCAAGACCTTGTGAGTGATGAGTTTGTGTCCATGTGCAATACGATAACGAGCATTGCTGACTCTTCCACGTAAGCTGCACCCATGTTTCCCTGGTTCTTGGGGAGAGAGCGTGTCGGATCCAGGGGCCACGGGAGCCCACGCACAGTGCTGCCCATGGGCCACCACAAGAGCTACGGGAATCAGTAGGCCCGCTTTGGCCATGTGCGGAGACCTTCGGCGGACCTTCGCAATCATAGGCCTTATTTCCGTCTGTCCTTTCGCGGTTCTATTCAGAT